TAGGCAACAGACCGGAGGAATCTGTGGAAATAGAAGCCAAGAATTGGAAGTGGGAACATGCAAATGGAATAAATCAACACAAACTTTGATATTATATGGGTAAAGTACTACCATTTATGCAGGTTTTAATCTGTTAATGAATGTTTATTCATGTTTTTTTTTATGCATGTTTACTTGATCAACAGCAGAACAAATTTCAAAACAATGCTAACTGTAGTATCTTCAAGGACAAAGTACATGTATATACAGTGGGATCCCAATTTCTCAAACCTATTTGGCCAGGGAAACGAAAATACTTGTGCGAGAAATCGGGGATTAAAGACCGAGGGATGTGAAACGATTTTTGGCTCAAGTTATCGGGAGTTTCAATCAAAGGTTTGAGAAACCAGGATTCCACTGTACTACACAAATTGTTACAATGATAGTGTAGGAAGTACTGGATTAACTAACAGCTTCAGTGTGAATTTAGATAAGAAGGTTTGATGCTACAGATAATAAACTTTTAAAATTAGTTTGAGACAAAACTTACTTGTGCTCAGCAGTGTCACCCTGAGCCAACATGGTCGTGTAGGACTTCTTATTCTTGGTTTTAAGGCCTATGCCCGCAGTGTGTAGCAAAACTCTAAAATTGGAGTTAAAATTTTAGGTACAGGATAACTCCTTTTTTGGGGTTGTTTTAACTCCTTAATTTAACTCCAAATTTGGGGTTAAAACAACTCTGAGGTCGGGGTTATATTAACTCTTAAAACAGAGTTATTCTAACTCTTTATGGAGTTATTTTCACTCCAAAAATGGAGTTAAAAGTTTAGGTACAGGATAACTCCTTTTTTGAGGTCATTTTAACTCCTCATGATTTAACTCCTTGATTGGAGTTACTTTAACTCTAAAAAAGGAGTTAAAAAGAACTCCTTTTTGAGGATACATTTAACTCTTTCAGGAGGGAGTTAATAGACCAGGTTTGACATATAAAAATTCAGCCTAAAACAACAGACCTCTGCACAAGGCTCGGCGGTTTATTCCCCAGAGCCTTTGTGAAAGAGAAGTACGTTAGCTTTAAAACAAAACTACAGCAATATAATGCAACAGAACTATGAATTGCAACTTAAATTACTCCAGTATACGACACACACACATATATTTGCTTCTGATAGTGGTTTATTAACCAAACACTCAAAAATTACCTTGGAGTATCACCATTACAATTTTTATTATCACAATATCACTATCATTCATGGTAGTAATGAAACATAAATAATAACAACTATCTGAAACCCTTATAAAATCTTTCTGCAGGAAAGAGAATAAAAAATAAATAAAATACATCTGTTGCATAAATAGTCTCAACTGAAATATAACTTAATGAAATCTAGCTGCTGAAAGTGGTTTATTAGCAAAACACTCCAAAAGAGATTGAAAAAATGAAATACAAAGTACCCGTGCATGTATCTACCTGTGTGGGTACTTGCTTGCTTGGTACATGGTACAATACATGAAGAACAAGCTACACTATCAAAGCCCTGACCAATTCTGAATTTAACTATCTTGACAGGAAAGAAATTTTATAATATATCTATTGCATAAATAGCCTATCAATTATAGTATAATTCTATGAAATCTATATTCGTGTTATGTATTACTTTGTCCAAAATCACTAATTATTACAGGGTTTCTGTATAATTTTTAGAAAATAATTAAATAAATATTGTATAAACAATTATAAACTAATTCATAGTATTTTATAATGCAGCCTCTTACAAAGCTTCCTACATTTTCAGAGCTGAAATAAATTTATTTACTGCTACTCGCTTTTTGGCAGTTTGGTGTATATCAAGCAAAGCAGCTTCACAGAAAAAAAAGGCATTAGAGCACTTAGTAGGATACATTATGTTAAACACATAATAACATGCCACAAGAAGGCTTAATGTGGCGGCCATGGAGGTGGACCCCAAGTCCAGAACGACCTCCCCCTCAACTGCTATGCTTAGCATGTCCAAATCCCAAAATTCCCCAGAACCAATGATTCTGGGGAATTTTGTCTGCTTGATCACATTGTCAAGAGATTCTTCCTCCTACATGGAAAACAAAAAAGAAATTATTGTAAATGAAGCATCCCAGGTCATCCTTGATATTCAAATACATAAAGCTTTTATAAGCTCAACCTACAGGAAAAACAGATCAAGTTATACCAATAAATTACTAACATTTAGGTATTGAACTAATTATTATAAATTACATATCTACCTTCATTCCAGGTTGTAATGTAACATTTAAAACTCAAATGATACATGTAAATGGATTATTATTTTGTATATTATTTTGTAATTGCCATTGTCAAGAAGTGTTTTTGGCTGCCTGGAGACAAGTTTTGATGGCCATTGCCATTCTGGAGAGGTGACCATTGTGGAGAGGTCAAAGTAAGAGTTAATGTATGGACCATTCACTGGGACCAAAAACAGTTGCTACTGTAGAGAGGTGGCTCTTACTGGAATATTTCATTCTGGGGTGGAAGGAACGGTAAACAACAGTGGCCCAATAAACAAACACGAGAGATTAATAAAGGTGTGATGTGTCTTCATTCCAGACCAGAATTAGAAGTGACAACACTTTGTATAACTGGGCCTTGTATGTTACATTATTTTATATTTCAATTATGCATGGAATTAGCCATACCGTGCAGATCTTAATGAAGTCTTCTGTGCTTCCTCCCTTTTCCCTCAAAAGACGTGGCAACAACAAAACAGCAGCAGCCTCTTCAATTCCTTGAAATCAAAATACAACTATCAGTCAAAGATATTCCTTCTGTTTAAAGCTGATATATAATTAACATTAGTATCACCCAACTAGTGGACTAATGCAAATCCTGCATTTTGATTGGCTATGCTACTAGAGGACTATTAGCAATAGTCATCGAGTAGTGAAATTCTTTTGTATTATTCCCAAATAAATCTTTCTTCAACTTGCTTTGTTAACTTTATTTCTGCTTTTTCTGTCCAACTAGTTGGGTGATACTAAAACAATCAGACCCTTTGCCCTCAGAGGCTATGGGTCTAATTGTTTAATAGTCTCTATTTGGCCTGGAATTATGCTTTGACATATATTTTTTATGTGCAGTCATTACCTTTTTGGGGAAGCTCGTAGTTTTCCAAGAGTGTAGCTGAAAAAAAACTATGAGCTTCTTGGGGCAGATGTCCATGGGAAAATATCCAAGCATATTTTTATGCTAAATGGAGGTGATTGTGTTTATTATAAAATATTTAGGGAATATCACTGAAATATTCTCCAGTCTGAGCTGGGAAATATTCAGTCATGTGACACATTTAAACCACTTGAGCATGAGCAAAGATATTTGATGGAAATTATAATAATATTTTAACAACCATGACAAAGATAATGATGACAACAAACTGTAATGTTACAGAAAATACTCAAAACCTTAACCACTGAAGTTTTTGTTCAGTTTCAGCTCCTCGACCTTCTCCCACAGAGAGTGCAATTCCACTTCACACTTCCCCATAGAAGTTTAGCCTTTACGACCCCCACTACTGCAAAATTTGCAATACCTTCTGTGTGGTGTGTATAGATATTTTCTGGAAGCACACACTGATTTCAAAAGTGCATGATAAGTCACATTAGGTAAAAAAAAAAACACCTCTAGTCAATAATGTATGTAATGTATGTATTATGAAGGGAACCAACAAGAAGACAAATTATGCATAATTTTACAATAGAAATTACCTTTTTTTTTGATGGGTTTTCTGTGAGAGCATCTTTCATAGCTGGCACCACATCTTTTGCAATTTGTTGAGGTTCGGCAAATGCCAGGATTTTCTCCACCCAGACCTGCTGAAAAGTTTCAGTCATTTCCCTTACAGGGTTTTTCCTGCCCAAAATTCTTGCAAACTCTGCCTTTATCTGAAATTAAAAGAAATGCTTACATGTATGTCTTTAACTGATTGAAGCGAAGCCTAAGAATTAAGTAAAATCTACCTAGTTTATGTGCAGTTACAATGGAACTGTTAATACTGTCACTTCATTATTACAGCCACTTTATTCTGGCCCAGACAAAAGCTCAGTCATTTGTTTATTTAGAAAAAATCCTTTTACCCAGCCACCATTTTAATACGGCCAGATTCTTGTGGCCCATTGGTGACTGGATTGACAGGTTTCCACTGTATATCGTATCACAAGGTGTAACAAATTGCAATAAAACCAACAATGTACAATCTCAAATAATATGACAGTCTAGGTCGCTACCTTACCCTCATTCCATGTTGAAAACTCTTATAGTCCTTAGGTGCATTACTTTTCCACAATACACAACAAATTTAGGGGTTCAACAGATGAAAAACATGGATGACTGAATATCATACAACTTTTGTTAAGGATTGTAATAACATAATGATAACAAAAAAGATGAATGGTATAAAGCCTTTAACTTCCAGTTTCACTGTATCTTAAAGGAAACAGTATAAATTCCATTTCCATAAGATATTTCAATGATATCCGAGTTTTTATGGTTACTTACTACCTCCTCCTCTCAGATACACTCACCCCAAATGGTGTTTTAAGTGCTGGGTATTCTTCAATGAAGCTACTTATGGGTACCGTTTCTTTGAGGAACCACTGCCTTCTGTGGCTATGTGTCAACTCCATGAGTTCCTTCACCATTGCCAAATTTCGGTTAGATGATCGGGCCATTTCTTTCTTCATAGCTTTAACATGCTCCTGGCAAGTCTCTGCTGTTTCGCCTTCTGGCATTTCAAATATTTCTTCTATGCGCCTTTTTTTCGGCTGTGGTTCTTTTTTTTCTCCCATGTCATTATTATGGTTCCTTGCTGTGGATGTTTCCACGCCCTTTTGTCCAGTTTTCCTCAGGTTTTTGAATCGGTTCTTAAATGCTGTTTCCCAGGAACCCTGAAGTTTTGATAAGCAGTTGAATTACCATACCAGAACACAATAAGACATATCAGCTACAGTGACACTTGCTGTGTAGTGGATTCCCACTAAGTAAATTTACAGATAGAATGGGCAACTTTTGATATATTGAAATTCAGCTTGTTAGTGAGGTCTTGAGGACATAAACAACATAAATGAATAAACATGGTCATTCAAGTGCTCACATTCAAGCTTTGATACTGTGATGCAAATTACAAGGAAACAGTCTCTTTTCAATAAATATTTGCCACTCACTGTCGCTGCAAAATTTATGTTCTTATACCTTTTTTTCCTAAACAACTTTTCCTAAGCTGCAACAGGAAGAAAAAAAACATGCTTCCTTGGAACTTTTATCGAAATACACTATAATGACTATAAACGTTGTTCACTCAACTTACAATTCCACTGCCAATGGCATCTCTCAAAAAAGGAAACTTTTTTATGAGAAGGAAGGCAACATGCTCCCTCTCTGCCTTTGTAGGGTACATTGTGTGTACCCTTAGACTGGAACACACATCTCTCGTCAACTCATTCCTCCTGTTGCCCGTCAACTTTTTTTCTTCAAGTGCCTTGTTTACAGCAGGTGAAAACTGAGGGGAAAAGATAACATTGCAATCAGTCTAATTTTTTTACTGAAATCCATGGAACCATACAGGTTAAGTACAATTTGCCTATGCAGCATTTACCTGTAAGATATTAATATATTCTTTTTAAATTCTGGGAATGAAACTGGTTGTACTGAGTAAAGGAAGCAAAAGTCTGTAAGTAATACTAGATTTTGGGAAAATGTTCATCCAAATAATAACCTTGTTTAGGTGTTGTCTACTGCTCTAAATATGTTAGAAGAGGCTTTGGAAGACCTCTCAGTCATTAACTTATTGCATAACATTTTACAAACAAACTCACAGTAGATGGAAGCTGAAAATTCACCAGCCAAGATGAACCACACTTTGAGTTTAAAGGTTGACAGGGACTAAAGGCACATAATTTCGAAGATGAAGAAGATGACAGTGTTGAGGCAGGAGAAGATGACAGGGACTTTGCTAAAGAAGGTGGAGATGACTTTGCTGAAGATGGTGATGACTTAGTTGAAGATGCTGATGACTCTGTTGAAGATGACGATGAGGACTTTGCTGAAGATATTGATGCGTTGGCTGAAGAAGATGCTAACTCAATGGATGAAGTAATTGAAAGATCACTTGAACTTGGATGTGAGTTTATCTGATTAATACATAAAGAAATGAATCAATAAAATGTATATTAATAACTGTTGTTAGTATATACCACACAAGTGAATAGTGCTTTTCGCTTGCGCTGATTGGCTAGCTCGGAGGTGATTAACCAGTACTATTCACCTCTGAGCAGCTGAAGAAAAACAAAGTGGCTCCCCGTTTCAAATAAAGTTACTCTCAAACAAGTAAAGTTACTCTTTGGTCTGCTAGTTATTCAGCTTGTGTGGTATATACTAAAACAATCATTCACCTCAGAGTTGGTGAAAGTGGTGGATATTTACCTCCACTTTGGTGAATAATTGTTAATTATTGTCAAGTGGAAATAGTTCAAGAACCACTAAATGGGGGCACTAAAGAAATATAAAATTTAAACCACCGAAATCTGGGAAGGCTGATACAAAGAGAAAGTAAGATTTTAATTTGCCCATATTCTAAAACAAGGTCTGTAAAAAGTTAAATTAATTTAAGACACCCCATCCAATGAAAGACAAAGAAGCCACATTTAACTCAGCAAATCACTGTTTTGATTCATGACACTTAACACATTTTCATACAGCTAAGTTAATTAAATTCAGCTAGAGTTTAATAGCTAATACTGGTGCTTGTTGTATATCTTGACAAATATTACTTGTATCAATATACAGTGGCTTAATTCTCAGTAAACCTCACCTCCTCCATGCTACTCTCTTTTACAAACTTAGCACATGCAGCCTTGACTCTTAACACTTGACCCCCACTAATTCCGCAAGACTTCAGAAGCTCCTCACTGGCAGAAGTCAAGTCCTCTACTGTAATAAGCTACAGAGAGACAATTTCAGTAAAAGGCAATTTCCTACTATTCAAACCCACTTCTTATCTTAGGAGAGTTTATTACAATCAAAATTTATCCCCTAGGAATAAAACAGCGCCAGTGTGATGATCCCCTAATTGTATGTTTAACCTGGTTTTTCTTTGGCCCTGAAAAAGAAGCCAACTATCCGGTAAAGCCCTTCAGAAGTAAGCTTACTGTATGTACAAGAGAGTGATAAAAATGAAATTAAAACCCGAAAATTACTGTAGAAGGAATTTCTGTCGTGTATTTTCACCAGATTTTAATTCCATACGGTAATGAAAGGGTCAACAAGGCTATCAAGGGTCAATCGATGGAAACAGCGAGTTTTCAGCGGCAAACCTACCTCGTCTTTGACCAGATTCTGAATTGTTTCCTCCTTTACTCGCCCTTGTAAGAGAAAGCGCTCCAATTCTATGTCCATGTTAAATGCTGCAATCAAAAATCGTTGAAACAGTGAGCTTAGAAGTATCAAAATATTTGCATTTGTATTGTGAAAAAGGTCAGCACAATTTAATTATGGGTCGTGACCTCATGTACCGGTACAGAGAGGAATGACCATTGCACTGCTTTTCTTTACAAGTCTTTGTTTAGCTTTTGTATATTGTTAGGTATTTTGTTATCGGTTCTTTAGTATCGGTTCAATACACGCGGACAGTTACCACAAATTAACATGGGCCGTACATGCACGAGTGAACATCGTCATATGGAATGAAAGATTCAAAAGGAGATTACCGCAATTAGCGACACTTAACAAAGAAAGTGATAAGTTACTAACCTTTTATAGTCTTTTCTTCAATTTTGAGGTAAATGAAGAGCGAAATGAAGCCTGTGTAGCGATCGATACTCACACAACCGTTGCAAAACGAAAGAGTGCACCAACCTAGCTTGCCCGCGCAAACTTTCATATCTCATATCACGTGTCTGCTCACATGTAGAAATATTTTTGTCTAGGGTAGACAGAGTAAGCAATCACAAGGCCCGTGAAAGAGCAACCCTTGCATTGTTTCGTTTCAAGAGTTCGTTAAAAGTATTCCACTGGGTATCTTGTGTTTTCTTATGGCTTTTTACCTGAATTTGTGGTCTTGACAGAAATCTCTGCTTTATCCAGGGGAGGAGGGGTGACATGAGCCACTTGAATGACCTTTGGAGTGTGATGGTAATCTATTCCCCGCGCGCGGGAAAGTTGGAAGGTCAATCCAGGGCGCATAGAATATAAATAAGCGCCCAGGTCAATCGAAGTGAACGAACCTAGACCTAGCTGAGATAGATCTGATATACGATGGCGTATCGTTGCAATCTTTGCGTGAATTTCATCGCCATTACATTGTCCTTTCTGCTTAACCATTTGTATCGTTGTCATTCCAGCGATCCGAACTTCCACGCTCTTTGTGGAATTAATGGCTGCGCGAAGACCTACAGGAAATGCATTTCTTTCCGAAACCATATCATTAGAAAGCACGGAGATTTGTTAAAGGCCGAAAAAAGTGGAGGAAACGTACAAGAGATCAATCACAACTCGAGTGGAAGTGATATGGATGGTGAAATAAATGAAGACGACGATGGCACCTACGATTTTGCACCTTTGCCGCCGTTTGACTTTCAGCGAGTATCGGAAGAAATCCGTCGTACTGGCGCCCTACATTTGTTGAGAATGAAAGATAAAGACAGAGTTTCGCAGGCAGGTATCGATTCTTTCATTGAAAATACCACCAGCATAGTGAGAACAAGTATAGAGATACTAAAAGCCGGACTTATGAACAGATTGGATACAGCCGGAATAGATTTTAGCGCAGTTCCCGGCCTGCCAGAACTTTTCCAGGAAGACAGCTTGGCAGTGAATCCTTTTTCTGGCTTAACAAACGAAAACGAGCAAAACAAATACTTTAAAGATCACTTGAATCTTGTGGTAAGTTACCTTGTCACTAAAGATAAAGTAAAATAATAAAAATCTAGAGATAATAATAATGCACCAGTCAATGTAGGGGTGCCGGACATACCCCGGGGAATTTGACATTTTAGCCTATTTTGATGTCCCTTCCCTGGGGCTAACATGTTTCTAAGATGATGTCTATTTGCTGCAACAGACTTTCTCTTTCATCTTGTTATATCCCAAGCTTTGTAAAGAGGCATTTCTCCCAAGAAAAAGCATCTATTATAGCTGTTTATTTTGAGCATTGAATAATTTTAACAAGTATTATACATTGAACTCACTATCTCTTTTCTGATTGGCCAAAAGCGTACAGTGAATTTTCGAAATCAGCACCTGTGATGTTGTAACTGCAGATTATACAATAATCATGTCAAGGTCATGGGTAATCATGTGAAGGTCACAGGTAACCATGTTGTGCATGACCATGGTCCATGATTTCTAAAGGTAATCATGTCAAGTTTGCTCGCTTTGTTTTGCTTGCTGTCAGTATGGGAGCACAAACATGAGTTTTTTTAGTTTCGTTCAATGTGTAATAAAACAATTATTAGATTCAGTTTTTGTGATATCCAGAATAATCAAGGTCTCGGTAAGGGTTATCAGCCTCAGCCTTTGGCTTCGGCTGGTAGCCTTGACCTTGACCTTCATTATTCTCGGATATCACAAAAACCTAATCTAATAATTGTTTATAAATGGTCAATGAACACAGGTGCACAAAGGGAACTTCCTTAAGGACACTGCAGTGCTAAAGAAGTCTGGGTAGATAAATGTTTTAAAGACAGCTGGAGTAGGTTCCATGCGCTTGCATGATCTTGTCAACAAATAACGAGTGCTTTTTCCTTCACATTTAGCTTCTTGTTCAAATAGATAACATCTGTATTTACTTTATTTTTGACCAGTTTTAATTTTGAAGTTATGAAGACTTCAAATCAACCATGTTCATTTCAAGGACACTTAGGTATAAATTACTTAATGTGCTATAATCAGGATGATATCATAAAGAGAAATTGTTGTCTGAAAATGCCTTTATTGGACATCATTCTGATTGGAAACTTACACAGGAGCCAAGAAAGATTGTCATGGGACAGTACCATAAGAAGGTGCGTAGAGGGAACAAGTTAAAGGACATTAGAAAAACAGATGATGCATACTACATTCCATTACTCGAAAGTCTGGAGCAGCTGTTGAATGATGACTCTATTTTAGAAGAGGTTTGTGCTTAAATTGTTTTGAACTTGATAAAACATGCTACCTTACACAGTGCTACATTTTGTATTTTGATTCAACATTTGTGTTATTCCACATGTGTTTGATAAGTGTAGTGTATTGTGTTGTTTCAGAAAATATCCATAACCCCCCAACAGAAGGTTTTTTAGCTTGAACCCCCAAACCCCTCAGGAAATTCCAGTTTAGCGTCATACTTTCCTTAAAAAAAATTCTTTTAAAACCGCTTCCCCCTTAGAATTTCCGATAGCCTTCCTTGGCGAATTCTGGAACTCCACATTTGTTTTTTTTTTTAGATTGACAATCCACACATAAGAAATGATGGTCTTCTTAGTGACTACTGTGATGGAGACATTTTCAGACAACATCCACTTTTCTCACGGGATCCCAAAGCCTTGCAATTGATTCTATATTTTGATGAATTTGAAGTATGCAATCCTCTTGGATCAAGGGCCAATAAGCACAAGATTGGTATGTTTATATAATAGCCATTGGTCACTGAACCCATGCTGTCTCATTAACAGAGAATAGTCTCAAGATTGTATATAGTTTACCTAAATGTAGCCTGTTCCAGGCTCTCAGTGGTTGGTAATGAGCAAAAAAAGGAGGGTGAGGAATAGAAGAAATGAGGGAGGACTAAAGTGGAAAGTGAGGGAGAGAGCTTGGTAGTCATCTTGGTAGTCATCTTTATTGAGAATGACTGCCACATTTGTTTGCCTCAATGGCTTACTCACTGACAGCAACAGTGAACATTGTATAATTTTAGAGCTCTCCAATTCTAACATTTCTTACCTCATGCAATCAAAATACTCGTTTGTTGAATAGAAAACAATTCTTGTACTTGAAAGTTAACACTCAAAGTAATTATTATTGTATTCCTTAATATCATTATTTAGGAGGCTTTTATTACACTCTTGGAAACATACGACCAGAAAATAGATCACACAAGAATGCCATTCAGTTACTTGGCCTAGTTACAACCAAACACCTAAAAAAATATGGAGTGGAACCTCTACTGAATGCTTTTATGCAAGATTTGGCTCAACTAGAACAAGTGAGTGTTTTGTAGAGACTAGATCTTGAAATCACTATTTTATATCCCATGGGTATCATCAAAACAAGTGAGCAACATTTTGCAGCATAAACAAAAATGATCACTGTTGATTTGATTCAATATAAGAAACTTCAGTATCATGATGATCATTGATTCCACTCTGAGTTTTTTGCAACCTTTCCCATTAATAATACTTTTTACTATTATATCCATATTGATTATGTAGATCCAACCTTAAGCACATTTGTACAATTGTTCATAATTTTAGGATGCAGGTCACCAGTTTCTGATAAATGGGGAACCTCGATCACTTCGGGGATCAGTTGCTTTTTTTTGCGGGGATAATCTTGGCTCCCAGTTCATTGGAGGATTCAAGGAAGGATCGCAGGCGCATAGACCTTGTAGGGAGTGCATGGGCGACAAAAATCAGATTAAGACTCATGTAAGTATGGGTAATACCCTTTAAGCACTAACCCACCTTAGTTTTGGTTGTAATTTCGAAGTTAAAAGTGGAACTGACCATTCAGTTGTAAATGTGGTTGCTCCTCAAATCAGCAGAAGTAAATGACATGCATGAGCAGTCATGTAACTCAGACTGCAGATGAATTCTACTCAGGATGACAAAATGCTACCAATTTTAGTGTTACAAGTGACATAAAAATTTCTTTTTCAGAAAGTTCAAACCATTGGCAGCATCTATGATGTGTAATAACATTTTCTCTCTCTTTTTTTTAGTTTCATGAAAGAGATTTTGTTTTGAGAACCCGTGATAGCCATAACAGACAGTGCATTCGACTTGTCAACAACCCACATTACAGTAAGACGTATGGTATCAACTCTGATTCTGTTCTGAACAAATCAAGGTATTATCATGTGGTTGGCGGGCTGCCTCCAGATGCAATGCATGATATCTTGGAAGGTGTTCTGCATTACAGTGTCAAAGAAACGTTGAAAGTATTGATATTTGAAAAGCAATTTATTACAATTGATGAACTCAATGAACGCATCTCTTCTTTTGATTATGGCTATCAAAATGATTCAAACAAGCCAGCACCAATCCAGCGAAGTCGCCTTCTGTCAGATGACCACACTATCAAACAGCATGGTAATATGATTAGTATAAATACAAATTTATAGTCGTATACTTTAGGTTTGTAACTGACAGTTAATAATTGAAATGATGTTTGCATGATCTTATTACTTTTGTTGGTGTTTTCCTTTAATTATGGTAGCTGCCTGGTAAAAGCTTGTTCATTCAGTTACTTTATTTATTTATTCACCTACCTATTTTTTCTCTTTATTAAAAGCAAACCAAATTTGGTGCCTGGCCAGAAATCTGCCTCTTCTGATTGGTGGTCTTATTCCTGATGAAGATGAACACTGGGGTCTTTTCTGTGATTTGCTTGAGATAATGCGCATAATTTTTGCACCAACAGTGAGTGCTAATCAAGTGGCTTATTTACAAGTTTTGATTCAAAATCACCATGAGAAGTTTAAAGAATTATATCCAGACTGTTCCATAACACCCAAGATGCATTACATGATACATATGCCACGAACAATATTGAGGTACTAAATAAATCAGTGTTTAGAAGGATAACTTGTTAATGAATTATTGCTATTTTTGGCCCTCAAGTTTGTTATTGAAGCTTTCCAAAGTAAACTTCACCTTTGCTGGATCTTTAACAAGCCAAAGTGAAACTTTAAGATAACAAGTCCTTGGTTATTTGTATGAAAGTCATTAAAATTGGAAAATTTAAATTATCAGGCAGCTTAATTTATTGACTATCAGAACTGGGTATGACACGCGCCTCATACAGTTTGATGTAACACAAAAGAAATAATCACGCAGCTTAACATTTTGACTATCAGAACTGGCGGGTGGCACGCCTCATACAGTCTGATGTAACACAAAAGAAATGATTATGCAGCTTAATGTAATAACTATCAGAACTGGCGGGTGGCACGCCTCATACAGTCTGGTGTAACACAAAAGAAATGATTATGCAGCTTAATGTAATAACTATCAGAACTGGCGGGTGGCACGCCTCATACAGTCTGATGTATTAACACAAAAGAAATAAATATGCAGCTTAATGTAATAACTATCAGAACTAGCGGGTGGCACACCTCATACAGTTTGATGTAACACAAAAGAAATAATCATGCAGCTTAATGTAATAAGTATCAGAACTGGCAGGTGGCACACCTCATAGAGTCTGATGTAACACAAAAGAAATGACTATGCAGCTTAATGTATTAACTATCAGAACTGGCGGGTGGCACGCCTCATACAGTCTGATGTAACAAAAGAAATAATCATGCAGCTTAATGTATTAGCTATCACAACTGGCGGGTGACACACCTCTTACAGCTTGATGTAGTCAACTTATTGTCCATCGCTCCAGATGNAAATGATCACTGTTGATTTGATTCAATATAAGAAACTTCAGTATCATGATGATCATTGATTCCACTCTGAGTTTTTTGCAACCTTTCCCATTAATAATACTTTTTACTATTATATCCATATTGATTATGTAGATCCAACCTTAAGCACATTTGTACAATTGTTCATAATTTTAGGATGCAGGTCACCAGTTTCTGATAAATGGGGAACCTCGATCACTTCGGGGATCAGTTGCTTTTTTTTGCGGGGATAATCTTGGCTCCCAGTTCATTGGAGGATTCAAGGAAGGATCGCAGGCGCATAGACCTTGTAGGGAGTGCATGGGCGACAAAAATCAGATTAAGACTCATGTAAGTATGGGTAATACCCTTTAAGCACTAACCCACCTTAGTTTTGGTTGTAATTTCGAAGTTAAAAGTGGAACTGACCATTCAGTTGTAAATGTGGTTGCTCCTCAAATCAGCAGAAGTAAATGACATGCATGAGCAGTCATGTAACTCAGACTGCAGATGAATTCTACTCAGGATGACAAAATGCTACCAATTTTAGTGTTACAAGTGACATAAAAATTTCTTTTTCAGAAAGTTCAAACCATTGGCAGCATCTATGATGTGTAATAACATTTTCTCTCTCTTTTTTTTAGTTTCATGAAAGAGATTTTGTTTTGAGAACCCGTGATAGCCATAACAGACAGTGCATTCGACTTGTCAACAACCCACATTACAGTAAGACGTATGGTATCAACTCTGATTCTGTTCTGAACAAATCAAGGTATTATCATGTGGTTGGCGGGCTGCCTCCAGATGCAATGCATGATATCTTGGAAGGTGTTCTGCATTACAGTGTCAAAGAAACGTTGAAAGTATTGATATTTGAAAAGCAATTTATTACAATTGATGAACTCAATGAACGCATCTCTTCTTTTGATTATGGCTATCAAAATGATTCAAACAAGCCAGCACCAATCCAGCGAAGTCGCCTTCTGTCAGATGACCACACTATCAAACAGCATGGTAATATGATTAGTATAAATACAAATTTATAGTCGTATACTTTAGGTTTGTAACTGACAGTTAATAATTGAAATGATGTTTGCATGATCTTATTACTTTTGTTGGTGTTTTCCTTTAATTATGGTAGCTGCCTGGTAAAAGCTTGTTCATTCAGTTACTTTATTTATTTATTCACCTACCTATTTTTTCTCTTTATTAAAAGCAAACCAAATTTGGTGCCTGGCCAGAAATCTGCCTCTTCTGATTGGTGGTCTTATTCCTGATGAAGATGAACACTGGGGTCTTTTCTGTGATTTGCTTGAGATAATGCGCATAATTTTTGCACCAACAGTGAGTGCTAATCAAGTGGCTTATTTACAAGTTTTGATTCAAAATCACCATGAGAAGTTTAAAGAATTATATCCAGACTGTTCCATAACACCCAAGATGCATTACATGATACATATGCCACGAACAATATTGAGGTACTAAATAAATCAGTGTTTAGAAGGATAACTTGTTAATGAATTATTGCTATTTTTGGCCCTCAAGTTTGTTATTGAAGCTTTCCAAAGTAAACTTCACCTTTGCTGGATCTTTAACAAGCCAAAGTGAAACTTTAAGATAACAAGTCCTTGGTTATTTGTATGAAAGTCATTAAAATTGGAAAATTTAAATTATCAGGCAGCTTAATTTATTGACTATCAGAACTGGGTATGACACGCGCCTCATACAGTTTGATGTAACACAAAAGAAATAATCACGCAGCTTAACATTTTGACTATCAGAACTGGCGGGTGGCACGCCTCATACAGTCTGATGTAACACAAAAGAAATGATTATGCAGCTTAATGTAATAACTATCAGAACTGGCGGGTGGCACGCCTCATACAGTCTGGTGTAACACAAAAGAAATGATTATGCAGCTTAATGTAATAACTATCAGAACTGGCGGGTGGCACGCCTCATACAGTCTGATGTATTAACACAAAAGAAATAAATATGCAGCTTAATGTAATAACTATCAGAACTAGCGGGTGGCACACCTCATACAGTTTGATGTAACACAAAAGAAATAATCATGCAGCTTAATGTAATAAGTATCAGAACTGGCAGGTGGCACACCTCATAGAGTCTGATGTAACACAAAAGAAATGATTATGCAGCTTAATGTATTAACTATCAGAACTGGCGGGTGGCACGCCTCATACAGTCTGATGTAACAAAAGAAATAATCATGCAGCTTAATGTATTAGCTATCACAACTGGCGGGTGACACACCTCTTACAGCTTGATGTAGTCAACTTATTGTCCATCGCTCCAGATGAGCTGACATTCTTTAAGGTACTTCCAGTTTTTAAATACAACCTTTATTTCAACATGATTACATATCACTTAGCTTTCACCAAGTGTGGGTTCGATACCTCAGGTCAGTTGTGTCATTACATAGTGAACATTGATGATGATGTACAACTTTTGATTTAGCATTGGACCTCTCATACGAAGCTGGTGCATGCGCTTCGAGGCTAAGCATCATGAATTCAAGCGGCTTGCAGCACACTTGGGAAATTTCACAAACTTGCCCTATTCTCTTGCAAAGCGTCACCAAGAGGGTGTATGTTACCGTCTTCAAACTTCAGAGGGCAATCTGTCATCTTTTATCAAGAAAGGGATTGAAACAGGACCAGGTAATATTAGTAGTCTTTATAACTTGTAAATAGATAAACAAGATGGCTTAAATGTTAAAGATGAATATGTTGAATCAGAAGCATTGTTAATTGTACATGGACTAATTTAGCTGCATATGCAAATCATTTTTCCATGATAATTTAACATTTAAATTTCAGGTCACTGCTGCTATGCAGGAGATGTGGACTACTGCAATGTCCTTTCTGGGGATAATCCAGAAGTTACTAATGAGACACCAATAACTGAGTAAGTTATGACTGTAATAAATCTAGTTATAGATGTTAATGACTATTGGTTAGTTTTCCTATTGCTTCAATACCAAGACCGTGTGCAACACTAATAGGTTACCTTTCAAGATACCGTTACAACATGAGTTATTATGGTGTAATAGTATAATTATATTACAAAAATGCAAAGAGTGTACTTGCCCAAATACGGCCTGTCACGTTAGGCATACTGTGACAGTCATATCTATTGACTTGTTTCTTTTTCTGTTTTGTTTTTACAGGTTGAAATGGGTTTCTATTCTTGGAACTAAATACAAAACTGGCTGCACTTTGCAAATTGACACAGATCAGTACGACAATCCAGTTTTTGGACAAGTACTGAAAATTTGCATTGTAGATGGAAACTTCAGTGATATTTGCTTTGTTGTCTCAAAACTGACAACCACTCAGTTTGACAGCCATTATCAAAGTTTTGAGGTGCAAACCATACACCCTAGAAGGAAACTGATAGTTCACCACACAGACCTGGCCTCTTTCTTGCCTCTAAATCAAGTCAAACCGTATGGTGTTGTAACAAGAAATAAATATATTGTGCAAAGATTTGACATTGGAACAATCAATTAACGAAAGATTTAATTCGTATGAGCAACATAAACATTTCATTTGGTGCACAAAAGCGATCAATACAGTGTTGTTTTCTTTTTTTTCTAATCTTGCTTTTGGTCTTTAAGGGGGAAAATATTACAGCTGCTGTTCAATTACTGTATGTACCCCTTTCATGGATTAAGTATGTGATGTCACTGAGATTGACAAAGAGCTCTAATTACAAGCAAATAATTTATCTTTATGCCCACAAATAATGTGCCCAAGGTTATAAAAAGGGCTTGAATGATTTGTATGTGTCTAGTACAGTTTAAAGAAATTCACCATTTTTCCAGTTTTTAACTTGTACAGTTTTAATTTTCAATATCATAATGTAACATGAATTTAGCTGATCTCGCATGCATTTTTGACTGGTTTAAAATAATTTCACATAGGTTAGTTATTGATTTTTAATTATTGTGTATTTTAGAGGGCCACAAGTTTATTAATTGTATAACTATTACATGCTTTACCCTTGACAGTATAAATAAAGATTGATTGGTTGATAAACAATATACTGTCTATTTTATCACTTTATAATGTATAATACTTTTCTCTCCACCATAGTCTAGAAATATTTTGTCATAAGCTTGAATAATGAGCTAGATAAAATTAACCATAGATTATGTGCTCAAGATTTCTATGATGTGGTAGTTGAAGAGTCGAAGCACTCGGCCAATCAGATTGCAGCATTTCCATTAGTGTTCAAATATTGAAAATCTGGCATTGTGATGGGTTCTCCATTATTTTCTATATTGCAGTTAGATTATGAGCTCGTGATTTCTATATTGTGCAGTAGGAATCTAGAGTGAACATGGTAACATTTACTTCTTGATATAGTTTAAGTAACTCATAATTACTGTCAGAGTGCAAGGAGATCGTCCAACAAATGAGTGACCAAAAACCACATTGTAGTGATGACATGATCACTCTACGAATCCAGTGGCTTTGATGCATTAATCACATAGATTAATTAATATAAATAAATACCTCCCATGCAGTAAGAAAAAAAATAACTCTCTTCCCCAAAGTAAGTTATTTTAACTCTTCTATAAGAGTTGAAGTAACTCCTCCAAAGTGGCTTCCAACTGAAAGTGAATAAAATTCACTCTCTGGTAGAGTGAAACTAACTCATTCAGATAGAGTGAAACTAACTCTTCTCACAGAGTAAATGTAACTCCTTCCAAGGAACTCCGAAACTGAGTTATACTAACTCTACTTGGCGAGTTAAAATAACTCCGGCCTCCTGATGGCTGGAATTCAACTCCTACATGGAGTAAAATTTAACTCTGTTTAAGGAGTTAAATTAAGGCCTAAAAATCAACTCCTACAAGAGGAGTTAAGTTAACTCCACGGCGAGTATTATGAACTCCTTTTTGGGGTTAAAATAAAATTAACCCCACAATGGGGGTTAATTTAACTCGCTGAAATTTACTGTGTGCAGCCCAAGCATTATGAGCAAATAAATTTCTGCATAAAATCACCAAGTAAGCACTTTCTTCTTTAAAATTAAATGAACGGTACATGAGTAAGATTTCCATCTATCAGTGACAAAAATATAACAAATAGTAATACAGACCAACTTTCCACCCCCTCTTCCCCGGAAAACCTGCTCCAAAGAATCTCCTCTTCCTCTTCTTCCCGGGCAACTTGCTCGACATAAGTGGCTGCTTCTTGTTTGTTTGCCATCGGCTCCAAGTTTTCATCGTACGGCAAAAAGTCATCAGTTTTTGAATGGAAGCTATCCTCGGAGGCTACAGAAGACTGTTCCTCAGTGCTTTCAAAGGAGTGATCCGAAATTTGGTCTCTGGAGACACAAGCCATTTCACAAAAACACCACAAAACAGACAACAACAGTGATACAAAAGCAGCTAAAACAGCGACTGATTGCAAATGAACGTGAAGCCTTTGACGTCACAACCAACGAGTCCGCTGGAAAATTGCATGCTCATCTGGAAGGAGTTTTCGTAATGGCAGATGCCTTTTAGGCAACTTTTAGAGCTGAAAATTTTGAGGATAGAAGGTTTGATGTTCGTGTTTTTTGGCAAATATAGTTACTAGTTAACATAAATAGATATTCTATGAGGAAACATGCGCGAAAGAAAAGTATTGATTTTCGTCTCAGGGGCACTTTAAAGATGTCCAATAGCAAAATGGTGGCGAGTGCGAACAGGACAGTATTTCAAGTTTTCAAAAAAGCATACAGCCCCAACTTAAGGAGTTAAAGCTGCCCTTCAATATCCTCCAAGATGAACAATTTGGCAGCCAAGCGAAAAAGAAGTGTTGGCAGCCAAGCGAAAAAATCTTGTGAAACAAGGACAAGGAAACAAGCCAAATGCGTGCCGTGAATTAACAATGGAAGAAGAGGAAAAGTTATTTGAGAGCAGCGAATTTGGTTGCCACAACCCCAAAGTGACAGTGACAGTGACAGTTCAACCCAAAAATATTTGCAACGGGAACAAAAAGATGCCCGGTCTAGCTTCTTTAAGCTTCTTGAAAGCCATCATCCGGAAAAGGCAACAGCTCCAAGTTATCCGTTTTTCCTTTCTCTAAATCACAAAGGTTGGCACGAGGAACCAAATGGCTGGTATAAGCTGTCACCACTCAGTAAAAACCAGATCGGTAAATTTTTGTCTAAAGCAGCTCAAAAGGCTGGTCTACAGGCTTGCGGAAAGAAGATTGTTAACCATTTGTTTCAGAAAACAAGCATCTCACAGTTACTTGATGGTGGAACTCCAGAAAATTTCGTAGCACAGTTGAGCGGGCATAAAAATCTGCAAAGTTTTAGCTCATACAAGTCTGCTTCCATAACACACGAGCCACACACTAGACATCTTAAAACAACAAGCTTCTCGATCAGGTTTATGTCCAAATGCACCAAACTCTGTCTCTGTTGATGGAACAAGCTCGCAGCAGTTTTCATTTGCCCAACAAAGAAGCTTCAGCTTTCAAGTGATGCCAAATCCTTCTCTCTTCGCATCAGCAAACATCTGCTTAATTTCCAACTCTGTCTTTAATCTTGTTCAGTCCGCACCGAGTGATCCATCTGGCAGCTTACATGAAAATGCCGCAAAACACCAAAAACTGGATTCTAATTGTTGAAAATTTTCCTTATGTTGTTTTTGTTCGCACTGATAAAATTATTTCATTCATTTGACGCTGACATTGAACAAAGTTC